CAAGTCTCTCAGTCCCGTGATGATCCTTTTCGCTTGGAGATGTGCTCGATCGGGCGTCTTCTGTGAAAGCAGAGCAAATTAGTCATTCGCTCTGAGGAATGCAGTCGTCGAGACGGCCGGACTTGATGTGTCGATGTTGGGAAGCTCCCCCATGATGATACAGTTTGCCTCGACAGCCTCAGCTGCATGAGGGCTGAAGCAATTTTAACTATGTTCGAGAGTAGTAGCACAAGCAGCCCGATTTTGGTCTTGTTTGCCAGTTTTTGAGCTAAACCCTAAACCCTAAACCCAAACCCTAAACCCTAAACCCATGTTTGGTTGAGGTTTACCCTGCACGGCTCTGCACCCTTCCACCGTGAATCTCCAAGACGTCAGCTCTGAACCCCGGACCTCAAAAAACGAAGGCGTAGCCGTACTGTAAATGCTAACCCTGAACCCTAAACCCTAAACCCTCAATCCCAGCCTTAGCACCTAGTAGAGGGGCGTAAAGAATTGTCAGTCTATTTTGGAGGTGCCTTAATATAATTATAGTATAACATACACCCAAGCCCTATTCTAATGATTAAGGCCCCTACATTACACCCGAGATCCTTAATCTAGCACAGGTTGGCACCCTGGATGGCTTGATGGTCACCTTCCTGGACGTGGACGGCGTCGTGGTCGACCAGATTCTGCCGATGACACGCTTCACCATACGACGCCTGGCAGCATACCCAAACCCTAAGCCCCAAACCCCAAACCCTAACCCCTAATTTAAACCCTAAGCCCTAAACCATGAACCCTAAACCCCCAAACCCCTGAACCCCCAACCCTAAACCCGAAGCCCTTCTGAAACCCAAACCCCCAAAGCCCTGACTAATGATGACCCCGCGCCACGGATCCTAAGCTCTCAGACCAGGGGGTCAGGGTTTATAGGGTTTAGGGACCCCTAACCCCCAAACAGCCCGACATTTCGGGGCGTTTTCGGATCAAATTTCTTCGTTTTGTGGGGCTTTTGCCTTCGGATTTAAAGCTCGGGTTTCGTGGCTGGGGAAGAAGGGTAATGGCCTTTGATTTGAACCCCAGAAACCTAAACTTTAAACCTACACCCAGGGTCTTCCGCAAGAAGGGCCCTCAAAACGTCCTAAACCCTACCTGTAGCCGGAAAGACCCACCTGTTTAAGGAGCTATACATAGAAGCCATAATAAGGAACCCCCCCAAAAGGTAGGTCTGTTCGGATACAGGTACCTAAACCCTAAACCCTAAACCCTAAACCCTAAGCCCTAAACCCTAAACCCTAAACCCTAAACCCTAAACCCTAAACCCTAAACCCTAAACCCTAAACCCGAAGCTCAAGCCTCAAGCGACGGCCGAGGAGTGGATTGTGGCGGCGGTTTCGATGCCTGCGATGCCAATGATTTTTCGAGCATCAAGGTGCAGCGTGTAGCGTTTGGGGTGTTCCGGGGGTTTGGGATTTAGCATGTTCAGGGTGCTTAGGGTTTAGGATGTTTAGGGTTTAGGGTTTAGGATGTTTAGGGTTTAGGGTTTAGGATGTTTAGGGTTTAGGGTTTAGGATGTTGAGGGTTTAGGGCGTTTAGGGTGTTACGTGGGGTTTAGGGTGTTCAGGGTGTAGGGCTCAGTGTTTCGGGTTCATAAGTTATACGGGTTTGAGGTTTAGGATTTTGGGTTTGTGGTTTTGGCTTCAATTGCAGTAGTAGGGTGACATGTTTCGGGTCTTGGTTAAAAGAGGCCTGAACTCCGAAGCCCGAAACTCTGAGCCAGTTCACTTTGAAATGCCTCCGCGCTCACCACGCACCCCGCCCCTCCAATACTCGAGACTCGTAATCCAGGAAAGTGATGTAGTTAGAGTTAAATGAAGATCTTTAGCAACAAGCAAGTCTGGGGTGACTCTGCACCTGTTTTATGTAGATCGCTTTGGGTTCTTTAAACCCTAAGGGCCTAAACCGTTTTTGGGTGGTGGAGGCCTGTCGCGCAGAACCCTCAAAGTCCTTTACTTAAGGAGAAGACCTCGGGGTATGAGATGGTTTGGGGTGTCGGGTTAAGGGTTTAGGGTTTGACGAGGTCAAATTCACTTGCTGTAGTCGGTGGTTTTGCGGATGTTCTAGGCACGGATGTCCTTATGAACCCTAAACCCGCAACCCTAAACCCTAAACCTTATGATTATGGTATGGGGTTGCAGGCCATTGGGTTTGCAGCCGTAGAGCCGGGCAGGTTATTCCACGCAGCTGGTCTGCCGAAGATACGGCCGTGGGGGCATCGTACCTTGGAGCAGCCACACCAGCCCTTGAACCCCTAAACCCTAAATCCTAAACCCTAAACCCTAAACCCTAAACCCTTAAAGCCCTAAACCCTAAACCTTAAACCCTTAACGCCCTAAACCCTAAACCCTAAACCCTTAAAGCCCTAAACCCTAAACCCTAAACCCTTAAAGCCCTAAACCCTAAACCCTTAAAGCCCTAAACCCCTAAACCAAATCCTGTTTCGACGGCATTGCGAGGCATTTTCAGGAAGCCTCTTTCACTGAACACTCGACAGGTCAACTGAACTCAAACCCGAAAACCTCATTGGCCAGGGTTTAGGGTTTAGGGTTCAGGGTTTAGGGTTTAGGGTTTACTTGCGCGCGCTGGTCTCTAATACTATCTACTGTCGAAGGTGTAGGAGACTTCATGATATACTGCCAGATAGTAATCACAGCAAGGAGAACAGTATTAATATGAAACAACCACAAAAGCGATCCACACGAACATAACTCACAAACTTTCAACAGGAAGCGGTAGGCACCATGACACCTTGACATGTATTCCATTTAGGTGGTTGTCAAAATTATGGTCCCTTTCTGGGTCCTTATTTTAATACGGCACCT